GTCTGTCATTTGCCCTCTGCGGTGGAGTCCGCGTTGTATCACGCGAAGGAGTGGTGTCGCTCACAACAGGAGGAGGACGGTGAACCACGGGTGATACAGTCCCTTCTGCCGCTGCGATGAGCTCGTGGTCGAGACGAGTCTTCAGGGTAGGGCCCGCCTGTCTTAATAGACTGGCAACGGCGCAGAACGGAGAATAGTAACTCGTCAGGAGCGCCCTTCGGAGATTGACTGTGCCTGCCCTTGATCTTGCCTGTGAGAGTTGATAGAGTAGCATATAGGCTTGCCGGACCGGTTCTGGGTCTTCCTCGAAGTAGTCGTCGATGAGAGCCATGTACTGGGATTCGCGTTCTTCTTCTGGAATGTCGACCACAATCGCGCTTAGTTCTTGTGCAGCAGTATCGAGAGGAGGGCTCTCAGCTTCTAGGAGCCGCAGGAGTAGTCCCCGCATCGGAGCCAATGTTTGGGACTCGCTCCCGGGTGCCTCCTCTGACTGCATGCTCGACTCATGATCGGACATATTGGAAAAAGGATTTAATGAGTTATACCGAGATTCCCCGTAGCACGCCTACACACGGGCCTAGCACGTCTGTACAAATGAGCACGCATGCACAAATGGGGTATCCCTCAACACTCTGGTAAAGAAGATTGACTATACGATAGACAATAGACGAAATACCGACTAACATAAGATGAGATATAGTCGTACCCAGTCAACTGCTGCAGAAGGACAAGTAGCTCGTTGTACCAGCGGCAATCCTCTTCTCGGCACCAATGACCCCGGCTCTTCGTGTCAGGGGAACCTCGAGATCATTAGATTCAGAGGTGCTCAGGAAGCAGTTCGCTCAGTCAGCCGAGGCTTGCGAAACGTCGTATTGGCAATCGTGGACAGCGGAGTTGATGTATCCCACCCGGATCTGATCAATCAGTTCTGGAAAAATCCAGACGATGGTTCTATCGGGTTTAACTTCCTAGATGGTAATACCAACGTTAATGATGAGAACGGCCACGGCACTCACGTTGCTGGAATAGCTGGCGCTCAGACTAATAATAGTATTGGTATCGCTGGTGTTGCAGACGTGAAACTCATGATCCTGAAATTCATGGGTAGTGATGGCAAAGGTCCTCTCAGTGGCGCATTGAATGCTCTCGATTATGCAGTCGGGATGGGTGCTGCAGTGTCCTCACATTCGTATGGCGGTAATGTGCCAAGCCGGATCTTCGAAAATGCAATCCGGAATGCTGCTAACGCTGGCCATATTGTGGTTGCTGCTTCTGGGAATGAAGGAATGAACCTGGACGAGACCCCAACCTATCCTTGCTCGTACTCAAGGTCGATTCCTTCTATGCTCTGCGTTGGCGCGAGTTCTTCGACACCGACCTCGCCTGTATCCCTCGCCTCCTTCTCGAACATCGGTTCTGTGGTTGGTGTTGTCGCCCCTGGCGTGAATATCCTTTCGACGTACCTCTCGGGCTCGTACGCTTTTCTCAGTGGTACATCGATGGCTACGCCTCAAGTTGCGGGTGTTGCGGCCGTGCTTGCCACATTGGGCTTGGCAGGGCAGAGCATCACTGACTCTATAACACGGTCTCGAACTGCTAGTCTTAGAAATGCGCTCTCTTTGCAAAATTTAGGGGAATTGGATGCGTTGAACGCAGTCAATGAAGGCCTTGGTCAGCCGACCACCCCTCCAAGGCAGCCATCAAGCGCAAGACTCTC